TGAGATAGCCAAGTTTGCGGCGAGGTTCAGAAACCACTATCTATCTAGGTTGCAACCCCCGCGGCCTCTTGGTGTTGAAGAAATTCGTTCCCTTCATTTGAAAATGGGCCTTGCGCAAGGCCATATCTTCAACATGGAGCGACCGTTAGTGTGACGTCACCTCGTTTAGTCATTCTGATTTAAATGGGTTTGTTCGTTGAAAAGTCGCTTAAAACTTGGTCTGAACTTTGTTGTGGTGCCTACAGAGTAAAAAGAATCAGCTTTATGACAGTCAGGGGGCGTCGAAGTCTAGTAGGAAAATCTGGCAATCCCCGGAGTGACGTAACGTCGGGGATGACCGACGGCACCTTGCACTGAAAGATACGGCAGAACGGCTATTTTTGAAAAATGATAAAAAATACTTGGGTGCTGTTATGACACATTAAACGCTTATCAGCATGTTCCTCATCATGTGATAAAGCCATATCCGTGGTCGAAAATAGCCGAGCCCCTCCCAATTTCCAAACATCGACCTTATAAGCAAAGGATGTAAGCGTAATCCTTAAGGGCGACTTTCCCTTACATATCCGTACATATGCGTCCTTATGGAAATCGGTAGTGCGGCGATAAGCGACGCGCGCGACATCTGTGGGGCGACTGTGGCGACACCTGGTGGCTGCTTTTCTGCTGTATGTAGGCATTGGGGTTTTGCCAGATATGGTTCCTACTGCTACACCACTATGTTGACCCAATACTAGAAAGTTATTTTGCCCGTAAATGGTAAGAAAATTAAAAGTATATTTATAAAATTGATTGTAAATGATTACGAGATAATAATGAAGAAGTTTTGATTGATTACTTATTTAAATATCCAACCGTGAAACTATATTCTGGTAGGTTTAGTAGAAATTAGTCCCGTGCAACCTGTATTTAGGGCCTTGATGACAGTAATGTGGCCTGGGGACAGTGTCCTGATTTTCGTGAATTTGGGTGGAAACCCACACCTAACAGATTCTCTTTGTGACGTCCCGGAAAGCCAAACGACGTCCCTGAGAGATAAAAGTCGATAGGTATATCGAACACCAAAAGCAAACTATCGAAAAGAAATATCACCTCTGTAGCCTAAAAACACGGCTATGCAAAATGACAATAAATATATCCTAAGTCCTCACAAACCCACTCTTACACTCAACTCCCCTTTCCTGGCCAACTGCCGCAACAGTAAACAACGCGGTTTTATTTTATTTTCGTTTTCTGTGCGTCGGATATGGATAGGTTTTTTCCTTTACCATGTGAAGGTAATGCTGCCATATGAAGGAGAAAAGATGTCGGAATAGAGGGATCTGAGGACGTCGTTTTCCACTTTTCAGTTTTAGTAACTGTGCAGTGTATAGATAAATATTAATTATGCGAATATATTACTTGGACATTTATCTATAAGCACGCAACATACCTTTTGTATCATATTACTGTAACATATTTAATTATTTTTTCCCCTCAGAAGGTCACAGTAACGGGCTAGCGCTGCCCCTTGAACATGCCCTTCAAATGTAGTTAATTTTGCATATGTTGATAGTGTTTGGGGAAAAAGTTTAATGTTCATCTGTTTGAATTAAAATAAAGTTACTGAATTTCAACAGTATTAATTCAAGTATGTCGTCCTTGGCTTAAAAATGCACGCAATGTTGGGGACGTCGATTGACCTTGTTATTCCCATTTAATCGACGTCGGTAAAAAACTGAAAAGTGCACAATGATTTCACATTTTTTTCCAGCCAAGAAAAATTCAGCGTACACCTTGGAGTTTTCTTAATTGAATTTCATAACAGGATGCTATGGAAATTAATTTTCCGAACTGTTTTCCACCTCTTTGTTTGGACGTCTGTTTTTTACATCAGTCCTCTTGCTCGATATGATATCCCTCTTATGACGTCAATATTTAGTGATAGCCGCTGGCTCTTGGGCTGATTTTTGTTGAAGCATATTTGTTGTTGACTGTTGTGTATGATCATGGACAAGAACTAGACATCTTCAAAGTGTTGCTTTGGTGTTTGTGGTGAATGCTTGAATTTTGTATTTTACTAGGGGTAAACTGGCATTACTTTGTGTCTATATATGATCAATTGAGGTGCCTTGAGGTGGTATTAATCAATATTGCCAGTTAAAATCGCTAATTTTAAGAGATTTAGGTAAGGGATCTTCAGTGGCTTAGGCTCCGCACCGATATCGACGTCCATTTGAAATAGCGACGTCCTCGCGGCTTCAATCACACTCTCCGAAAAATCAATTTCAGGACACTGCCTGGGGAAGGAGGTAATTTTGGGCTGTGACGTCACATATTTGAAAGTTTGTGTTTGGAATATGGGAAGCCTAAGATGTTTAATGAAAAATAAATGCCAGAACCGTGTTCCTGGTCATCCAATCTATTCGCCTCGTGACACCTCGCTAGGTGGCAGCACCGTAGAACCATATAGATAGGATAGCGAATGTGGCGCACGAGTTACGAATACCGGTAAACGTGTATTTCTGTATCAGCTTCAGAGGAAATTGGGGTTGGGGGAAGCTGATTATTATCGATTTTGATTCCTTTTATGTAACGTTTTGGGTTTTTGACCTTTGGAGTAAATTACCCTGCTATCGCTAGTGAATATCATACAGCATTTGGCTGCAGAAATCGCCATGACCTTTGACTTTGAGTCTCAGTCTGAAGCAGCTTACAAAGGCGCATGGCAATTCGTTAAATGATCTTGTTTCCATTATTAGAATGGATATATTTCAGGCAATAAGGTGCATATGCAATCTTTCATGTTGTAGAAATAGCATGGTATGACAATGACATGACCACACAAGTACAAAAGACAGGACTCAGACTACAACCTAGTGGCATTTGACCGAAATCGGAAGTCAGAAGTGATGGCTGCCAACCCGATTCCACTGCTAACAGCAGCTGTTCCACTATGCTAGGGTTTCTGAGGCAGCTTCCAGCAGCAGGCTGCAGCCCTGGGAGGAAGGAACTGAGGAGTCTTGCTGCCAACCCTCAAAACCCACTTGCTGCTCACTGCTGAGAGGGCTGCTTGTTTCAAGGAGGTAGCTGAAGAGATTAGACCTAAAATTAAGTCTGTTGCTGGCATGTGTGGTGCAGCACAATATGCTACATGTGTTCTGCTACATGTGTTCTGCACATGTGTCCAGCAGAGCACAGAACATATTTAGCTCATTGCACCTCACCTCAGTCACCCCCTTGCTCAGCATTGAATTGACAAATGGTCTGCTTTATTAGTTACAACCTCTGCTCAGTGCTTTAGAAGTTGGTGCAGTGTTGGTGGCATTAGAGGCATTGTAATCAATGATACGTTCACAGGTGGCCTGAATTTGCACATATATCTCTTTTGTTTCCTGAACTATATCAACATCATAATTCATATGATCAATGGTGTGAGAATACTACCTGGGAGAGGGAAGCAATCTGATGTCCTCGGGTGTTCATTCATACCTTCCCTTCAACAAGCCTGGGGTACCCTTATGGGGTACCCTTAAAGTTATTTTCATTGCCAGGGCCATTTATCTTTCACATATGTAACTGATAACTGAATGGAAGAAGGTAAAAGTCACAAATTTTTGGTGTCAGTGGTCATAAGGCTCCGCCCTCTGAAGCCTTATGAATCTGAAGTGATAACTCAGAACTGAGTTTGAATTACACAGATAACATATCCAACCCCCTATCATTGGGAGCAGAATCAGCCCCTTCTGAACCGAATACATCCCTCATTCCCTGCTCAGTGCTCAGGCTAGTAGCTACTGCCTTTTGGCCCTGACATGCAGATATCATTAGCAAAAAGCAATGTGAAATGAACATGTCCCTTCGCCTTCTGGGGCGCCGTTCGAGCAGCTGGTTTTGTAAGTCTGTTCCATTCCATCCCACTGGTCAGCAGGTCATTTGAAAGGTTGAGCGAACCCGCACTGAACTCACCGTTGGCTCGCACCAATCCCTGATCATTCTACATCGGCACCCGAGCGTCCACGCTGGTTTCTGAAGGCTACAATCTACAGGTCTTTGAGGGCTCCACGGTGGCGTTTTGGGGCCCATCGCAGATCCTTAAGTTCCGACGGTAGTCAATGAGGACCTTATGCAGGTTTCCGAGAACTCCATGCCTATTTCTGAGGGCCCGACGTCGGCCTGTGACGGGCTATAAAAGGTGAATGTCTTATGCCGGCATATGAATGCTCTTAAGATCTCAGGGCGGTTCCAAATCATCGGGCGGTACCTACCTACGTAGAAAACCGTTACGGCGAGGGTTCAGACAATGTGCCCGGAACCTTGCTCTTTCGGCGGATTGCAATATCCTTATCGGCCGCCCTTACCGCCCTAACATTGGTTGTGATCACCAATACTGCTTACGAAGTGCCACGGGACGCTTTGTTCAGGGCACTTTTGACTGTGAAAGGATGTATGATGGGCTATGAGAATCATTATTCGTGATCTATGAGGAATTTGTCGTCGAATTATGTGCATTGCATTCCAATTTTGAAAGAAAAAGTATTCGAAATCCGAGGTCTCGTAAGATTAGACCGGCCGGTCTGCGTGCGGAGCGGCCGCCGGATCCTACCTATAGTAGTTCAGGAAACGGCCACCAGATGTCAGCCACTTCTGAGTCACGAGGCGAATAAAGTCGGGCACAATTTAACTGGTTTTAACAACATTTTAGAAGGTGGGATAGTCCCTTTAAACTAAGTTAGGTAATTAGGTAGGTAGGTCAGGCCAGGTCAGCTATTTTAGTAGGGTAAGGTCAGGTTTGGTTAGGTTAGATAAGATAAGTTTTGAGAAAAAAATCAGTGGTGTATTCAACATGTCAGAGCATTGTGGCTAATGTCATACAAATGCCTAATGCATATGAGCCTAATCCAGTAGTACACTTCACTTGCGTGAAGGCAACAGAACACTGTTAGTGACACCTGCCTCATTGATACCTCAGGTGATGCTGAAATGGAGTTGGATCAAATTACCACATCTGAAGATCTTGTGAGGATGGATTGCACAGGGGATGACCTTCTCCAACTTTTGAGAAATAACCGCCTGTTGCTAAGGAAAGGTAGGAGAGGAGATGCTGCAGAACACCGATGGTGGAATCGCCTTTCGGAAGAGATTCGTTATTTTGTAAGGCTTGGCGCTGCAGACGATGCAGAAAAACGAACAGCATTACATCAGCAAGTTTCTTCCTGAATAGCCGTCTGCATCCAATGACGATACTCAAGCTTGCCTTTTTGTACGTTGCCGCTGAAGCGAATCTAAAGGCGATCACAATGCTGATGCACACACCTTCCATCGTCACTATGGTTGACTGGATCCAATCTTGCCGAGAAGTGTTATCCATGGATGTGCTCAGAGGCACATCCATGGATAACACTTCACACAATTTCACATTTCACACAATGTGAAATTTGGCGGCCCTGGCCAAATCGTCGCTGTGGACGAAACCGCCTTGACCATAGGCAAGAGCGAGTCCAGTGTGAAGATCTGGATACTCGGCATCTATGATATGGAGCAAAAGATCGGGTTGGTGTGCTCGATCGCGAACCGTGAGCACAAAGCCATCATACCAAAGATCACTAAACACGTACAGCCTGGATCAACGGTCATCACCGACAAGCTGGAGACCTACACGTGTCTCACCAGCCAGGGGTTCTCGACCACTGCACAGTCAGAAACTGTCGCAGAAACTGGGAGCCGAGCAGGGAGTCCATGCCAACCACATCGCTGGGTACTTCAGTCGGCTGAAGGCGTTTCTTCGCTACCGACACGTCACTAACGCCAACTTGATCCCCAGCTTTCTGGACGAGTTCATGTGGCGAGAACGCCACAAGGAGGACGCCTGGGCCGCCTTCTTGGATGCCGTCAGACGCCAGCATCGCCTCTAGGTGAGTCAGTAGCCTAGGCTAGCATGGTGGTTGACACCTACTATGAATAGCCGGCAGGACGCCTACTAATTGACCTGACACGACCTGACACGACCTGGCCCAAAAGCATGAAGACATCATCTGTGATTAATGAAATTCGTGATCAGCACCCCGAAAACCTCTAACGCAACCTCACTTTACGATGTTCTAACAGGTCCCGATTTTCCCGACTTTTGCGTCATTGACCTGACCTGGAAGGTCCACCAATGACCTATGACGTAAAAGTTGGGTACCATCGGCCATCTCTAGTCACGAGCAACACGCTCGTTTTTTTCCGCGAAGCTCTAGCTCGATCAGGGGCCGAACGGCAGGAGGTTCAACCGACCCCCCCCCCCCCTAAATTAGACGCTGGGAAGCGCTGCATACAGGCGAGGGTTAATGATAGAGATTTCGATGTTTCGAAAAATGCTGAGGGTAGTGAGAGCGTTGACCATTTTGACTCTCATTTTTCCTAATTGAAGTGAAAGGCGTCAAGCCCCTATTCCTTTTGAAGCCCAAATTCGCGTCTTGAAGCTGTGCATCTGATGTAACGATGTTTGATTTCTTTTATTCTTCTGTGTTTCAGAAGTGTGATAGAATGTGATAGAAATGTGAACGGTGCTTGAAAGTGGCCAATCATTTGTGGAAGACAAAAAGATACAGTTGATCTAACGTAAATTAATTGATGATATCGCATTGTTATGCCACCTACTATTCAAGAATATTTTTTGCGAGGAACGCTTCTTTGTAGTTTGTCGTGTGGAAAATAATTCAAGTTCAATAGTGAAAGTTGTTACGCATTGACAGCGATGGAATCCTGTCTACCGACATCGGGAGAAAAATATGATGGCCACTTTCCTTTTTTCCGCCAACCAACAAAAGTTGGTGAGTTTTCTTTGGATGAGAAGCGAGACTTTCACCACAGCAGCTGTCAAAAGAAGTATATTAGTTGGCCTTTGAAAAGACCTTTGGATGATGGCCAAAGCGTCGATGTTCACTTTGATCTAAACTTACTATTGGACCGAGCAGTTAGAAAAGATGACTCACAGCTGGATGAAAGATTAGATAATCTTTTGAAGTGGATTTTGAAAAATCAAGAAAAATTCAAGTTGCAAGACAGAAAAGCGTCATTTAGCAGGTGGGCCATATTATTACTAGCCTCGTAAAGCGTTTGTTGCCAATGCCAGTGTACAGACCAGGGACAGTCGTTGTAAGACGTTCCGGCCAGTATGACAATTAGAGGTGCGCGTGACCTCAGTGGCCGTATTCACAACCACAGGCTAAGGGTAGGGATAGGAGTAACGGGTAACGGGTTATTTTTGTGGCCCTACATATTCACAGTCGAGGTTTACCCCTGATGGTCGCCCGGCGCCACGCAGACGGCACCTGGCCTGCGTGGCGCCGTCTGCGTGGCGCCGGGCGACCATCAGAGGTAAACTTCAATTGTGAATACAGCCATAAAAATAACCCGTTGCCCGTTACTCCTGCCCTTAACCCTGCCCTTAACCCGTGATTGTGAATACGACCACAGGTCGCTAGCCTTCCTGAAATGTCGGACGTCTGTTTTTTTTTGCACCCGTCGCCCGCCTCCGTCGTCTGTCGTTACCCAAGTTACGGTGGTCTGTGCCAGTCTCCATAACACACTGGATGTTTCAGCCTGTCGACCGACTTTGTCTGCTACCGGGGCCTCATCACCAAGCTGATGGCGACTCCGTACGAGAACCGAGAGCCGTGGATCATCTGCGCTACCAAATGGAGGTGAGTCGTGACTCGGCCAACAGTGTGTGAATGCAGCGCCCGGCAGTTGACATATAGCCCTGTCCTGCCCCGGTATCTCTGATAGTGTTACCTGCTGTGTAACCTGTGCGCCACTCTGGCCACCCACAGGGGCACCATCTACCTGTGTGCGTTCGACACGGAGCAGAAGATCGCCGACAGACAGCGAGAGACGCCGCGACAAAAAGCCATGTCCAGTTGGGGCTACAAGTTTGAGCAGTACATGATGTCAGGTGAGTCAGTACAACACCGATTTACCGAATTTTGCTACTAAGCGACCTATGTGTCCGACCTGAGCTGGTCATTCTAGTCTGTCTGATAAATTAGTTTGTTGTTATTTTACCGATTTCAGCTATTATTCGGCCTATGTGTCCGACCACACCCGATCATTCTAGTCTTTCGTGATTATTTTGTTGCTATTCATCCACCCGATCGGACCGTGTGCACTGCTTCGCCCCCGTTCCGGCAGACAGCCCCGGTGCGGCGCCCGACCCGCACACGCCGGCGGTAGAGAGCGCCGAGTTCTGCTGCGTGCTGCGCTCACGACTGGGACGCCACTCGGTGGTGTACGGAGCGGAGGTGGACGGCGTGGACCCACACCGGGAAGGTGGGTGACTGAACAGCGGTGAGCTGACTGAACTGATGGTAGACTGGTGGCAGTCCACATCGTGGTTCGGGTTCCGACGATGATAAGAATTTAGTCACTGACAGTGGCCTGAGCGTGGGATTAGTAGACACCATGGCTGTTCCAACTAAGGGAAAGTCCACTCGGTCAAACGCCTCATGATTTTGCTGGCCCATTATCACTAATGCCCTAGATCACAGTATAAGCAATTTTTTGTAACGTCTATGAATGTTGTCAGTCGTGACTACCTTTATGAACGGTGTTGACAGTGACTACAGGGTTGGGCAGATAAATTGGGACAAATTTCAACTTCCTGTAAAACGACTATTTTTTTAGCGATTAAGATAATTTTTGAACATAAATATAGGCTAATGAATACTTTTCCATGTTATGCAGGCTGCGTTGTAATTTTGAGTCGGCTGGTCACAGAACGTGGGCTTAAGCAAGCCACTATCACCTTAGTCCGCGCGCACATGCATGCCAATACTCTAACTATGCTCCATCAAATGGCTGAAAGTGGTGTGTATCGAACAGACGTAAACGTTGGAGGAAGAGATGATATTCACTCATCCTTACATACCTATTGCATTGACACCGGCCGCTCCCCCGGTTTTCCAGGGGGGCTAAAAGGCAAAACTTAGTTAAATCAGAGGATCCTTGCGAAAACAGGGGCGCGAGCTTACAACGAAGGTAGCCGCGCCATGAGAAAGCGATATACCAGCACCTCAAACATGTACTCTTGTGCATTGATGCATATTAACCTGTTAACATAGATATTGAAGCAGCTGTGACGTTAAAAAGATTGTTTCCTCTTGAAGGGCTTGGAGAAGCCAGCAAGCACGTGCAGGTCTTTTTCGACGATGGTATCCCCATTACCGAACATATGAACAACCGCAAACACCATGTAACATCGCAACCAGCCCCGAAGACGTGATCTTAGTTTCAAAAAGCATGCAGCAGACATCGGTGATGGCATTCCACTCGGTGACTTCTGACGGTCACGTGGGGCGCCCTTATTTTACGGAATCGGGAGGGGGTTCGCCATTACAGAGTACCTAACCATTATTCCGGCAGTTTGAATCAACAAGATGGAAGAAGGCAACATCCTGCATGGATTGATGCTCTTCGAGGAGTCAGCTCCCCGGCATACAGTAAATTAAATACAAAATCTCCTGAAACGGAGGATCCCGCAAACTGTACCCAAGGGAAAATGCCCCCTTCCTCATTAAACCTCAGCCCACACAAGTTCCGGTTGCTGGGGCGTTTTTGCGGGTGAGTCTAACGAACGTCTCCATGTGACTGTAGTGGGCCTCAGCAGTGCCAGTTGGCTACAATTACGAGCCATTTCAGACGGAAGATCTCGCCGCGCGTGCGGCCAGTCCAGGCACCAATAAGGACTGATGCAGGTGGACCACGGTGACCATATTTGGTGATAAATGTGTAAAATTGGTGTGACAATATGTGATCCAAATTTGAAATGCCTATGTTTACAAATTTCTAAGCTACGGCGTTCTAAATGCAAATATGTATTTTGTCCCAATTTATCTGCCCAACCCTGTATAAAAAGTCTGTCCGCTGCGACTTGTGCCTGTCTGTGCGTTACGAGGGCGAGGGGAGGTAATGCATGCAACAATGCAGCTTCTATCTGACAGTGTGTATCTGACGATGCCGACCGTCCGTCCCCAGCTGGTGACGGTCTGTCGATGGCTCAGTTTGTCGAACTGAAGACCTCCCGGGAGGTGGAGACTCCCCGGCAGCGCAACTCACTCCAGAGGTGAGGCCTCCAAATGTGTCACACTGAGTGCTGACAGAGGAAGAGGCTATGTCGTTCACTTTTTTGTAGTGTTCAGAGCTGCTAGGGACGATGTCTTTCACGTGTTTCACGTGTTTGTCACGTGTTTAAATGGTTTTGAAGCCGACGTGTGTGTTGTTCAGAGAATATTCAACTCAAGGGGTGACTCGAACACTTTTATCGCGAGAGAAGAATTAGGTCCTATGAGCAACAATGCTCGTGAAACGTTTATTCGAGAGTCATGTGAGTCATTTGAGCTTTTCGAGTCATGCATAGACTAATCAGGTCGACGTAACCTTTTTAACGTCCCTTGCCCCTGCACCGTCCGTTCGCCAGGTTCAAGATGCTCAAGTGGTGGGCGCAGTCGTTCCTGGTCGGCATCGAGAGGGTGGTGGTCGGATTCAGAGACGACGACGGGACGGTCCACCGGCTGCACGCCTACGCCACCAAACAGCTGCCCAAAGAACAGGTGAGGAACCAGCACCAAGCAGCTGCCCAAAGAACAGGTGAGGATCCTTTCACCAAGCAGCTGCCCAAACAGCAGGTGAGGGGACTCGTAGGTCCCGTCAGAACGGGCCCAGTCCCGCTGCATTCGGCAGAGTCGTCGGGACGTGCTCTTATACGGCCTTGTTTGGGTGGTTCATATGGTGGGTAGGCCGACACGGGTGGTGGTTGGGTGGTCGACTAGGTGAAATCTCTTGTCTATCTAGGCGGAGTTTGATAAAAGCTATATGCGCGTTTGTCGTTTTGTAGTTACCGTGCAAGTTTTTTTTTTTGCGTGTGATGCTAGCTTAGGCATCCATTTATGTTCATATGTATTTTTGTGTGCTGCTCTTGAGAGATTGACAGATTCAGAGGGGGGGGGGGGGATCTTTCTCATACGCATATTGTATATCTCGGCCTGCTTTTCGGTCTCATCGTTCGGCCTCGATCTCGTCCTTCTCTAACGCTGCACCACCTCTGGCTCTGTCCCCAGGACTTTTGGTCCCCGTCGGTGTGTATGAATTTCGCCGCCGCCTTCCTGGCCTGGGCCGCCGAACAGGTGACTGGGGACGACCCGCGGGCGGTGTGGAGGTTTGAGTTCGAGCCGAGACGGCGCCGCGTCACCTGCCAGTCGCTGGGACGCTCAGAGCGCTACCGAATACTGCCTGACTGGTACACAGAGAACGTGTTTAGACCGGGGCCCGACACCTGAGGACGCTGAGACTGAGTTCTTGTGCTGAAACCATGGCTAGCGCTCTGAGAACACGTTCCAAGCGGCATCTAACTGGGGTCCCGGGCCCTTCCCAACTGACGGTATGTTTCGACGGTATGTGGCGGGGTTAGCCTCAGCGTTCTGTCCATCGATCCACATGAAAAGGGCTGTCACGGAAGCGTTTCGTGATTTCTACTGCCGATGTTATCGTTCCATTTCATATGCAGCATCATCATCATGATCATTACCATTCATCACTGGGTGTGCATCATATCATCGTCACTCCATCAATGTGTCATCACTTGCGCAACGGTGTTTGTCGAGACCGTGGCGTGCCCATTCCGTTGCTGTGCCCGTGTTGACTTGGGCGCCTGTTTGTGCTTTCTACGTTTGAGTAATGTATCACGGAGCGGCGTAATAAACGTGTGAAGGATTAGCTATGTTTAGTGCGGCAGTTCAGGCTGAACTGGCTGTGATTTGGAGATGGGGTGCCAACAATTTCGGGTCACCCTATGTAGGCTTTTTTAATAACGGATGTATGGGATGAAACTACAAACTGATTGAGTCAACCTTCATTAAGAAATAAGAATGCAACGTTGATGTACGATAACAAGATTGAAATACATTGGTTATCAGACAAGTCACAAAGAATATGAATAGCAAGTTCTATGCGACAGAAGGAAAAGCAGCTAGCGTGCCTCTGACATGGATCTCGCATATGAGCGTGCAGTGGACGTCCAAGTCACCTGTCTCAGTGTCTCACTGGGCAGGATGTCCAGGTCACCGACTGACGCGCTGGGGTTGTCCGGGATACTGGCTGTCTCACTAGGATATCCACTATGCAGGCCGCCGACTCGACACTTGCTGAGGTACCACTAACTATCGCACTCGCCGTTTTATCCAGCTCGCCTGCCTCCTCACTCTGTAATATCCAGCTCGCCTTTCTATCACTCGCTGGGTATATCGAGGTCGGCGTCACAGACATAGCTGGGGGGATGGTGCTCGGTGATGGACGGCAGAAGATGGGCCGACGGCGTCAGCTCCACCACCGTCGCCGACTCGACCACATCGCCGGTGAACGCCTTGAAGTCGGCCGGCCGGTTCTTCCACAGCCACGAGCGGCAGTCCTTCTTGAAGCTGCCCACCATCTGCGTCCGGTCGTGGAAGCGGCCCTGGAACCACTGCAGCGACATGGGGATGTAGCGCACCTCGATCCGAGCGGGCAGCGCCTTGTCCCAGGCGTCGTACGGCGCGGTGGGACGGTCGTGCTCGTACTCCGGCCCGCCGCAGGGCGCCTCCGCCGGCGGGTTGGGAAGCTGCGGCGTCGGCGGCGCGGCGGTCGTGTCGTCGGGCCCGACGCAGATGTCTCGGCCGAAGGGCGTGCCGAGCACGACAGCCGACTGGTGGCGCGGCGGCGGCGGCGGCGACGGCGGCGCCTGCTCCGGCGGACTGGGCGGCGAGTGCAGGAAGGATGGCGAGCTGAAGCGGTTGAGCGAGTGGCGCAGCTCGCGGCTCAGGTCCTCCCACGAGTCGGTCCCGGCCAGACGACGGTGCTGTCAGACACCGGGCCATTACACAGCGTCATATGGCCTGTGATCAGCGGTCATGGAGGCGGTACCCTAATGGAAACGGTCATAGGAAACTGGTTCCAGGGTGGTTAACGGGAAAGGGGTTCCACAATTATGCGACAATCGTTGGATTCGATTTTCCGTGATGCGTGCAAAACGCCTAATTTTTCCAGGAAGTGCTTGAGAGCATGCCATACAATCCTGTGAGGTAAAAGGGGCACTGATGGCAAATTTTCCCAAAGTGTGCCCACTGACCATAGATTGTACTTACGCAATTTGTGTCGCTGTTACTTCGCAATTTGTCTGTCATGTTGAATGAACTCGCATATTTACTTATGCAAGGCAGGTATCGTTAACTCTGACCGTTTATTCAACTCTGTAAATTTACAGAATGTAAAATTTTGACGACCAAAATTTTCTGACTCTGATTCCAAAATGTTCAACACGTTTGTTGAAATTTGTAATGGAAATGTTGCCTTGTGTAACGGAGGCACCTTTGATGTAGGAAATCTTGGCTGGGGTTGAGTTGAAATGTTGGCAAATACTGTATCATGTGAGTTTGCTTTGTTTCTGGAATGCACACATTTCGTAACGTGGCTTCCTCCGTTACAGAGATTCTTCGTTCGTTACTGTGTCCACGCTGGGCGCTGGATAATCTCGAAAAACTCTGGCTGTCTTTACTCCTTACTCCTTCTTACCCTTCCCTTTCATGAACATCTGTTAGAAGAGTCAGACATTTTGTTTTTCTCACTGACAATGACAATTACATTGTTTTTGTATTGTCATTGTCTGTGAGAAAAACATGAACATCTCTGGTCGAAAAGTCGCACGTAAATGTTCCAATACCTATTTATTAATCAAGGTATTCCTAGTAACTAGAAAAGCATTATGGATTGATTCGCACAGCGTTGATCACGATATTTTGCTTCACACGGTCCCTCGCACATCACGCACAGAGCCACTCACGGTATTTTGCTGGCCTATCTGGAGTCCTGGGGCTTGGGTCGCCACTACCGCGATCGCCGACGCCCGAGTCACATGGTCCCCTAATCGGAGCTCTGTTGGCCCAGGCGGCGTCACCCCGTACCCAGGTCGGTATTATATCAGCTATTACACAGCACATCGTCTAAGCCCAACAACACACTTTGCATTGCGCTCCTATCACTACACGTGCGACCGAAAGCATATACGGTAAACTCTCCCTAGTCCGGGGGGCTGGCTGGGCTGCGGCCTGCTGTGAAGCCCATTATGCAACTGCTTCCACAAGCCAACCGGGTCTCGCCAAGACTCGAAGCACTGTTACCACACTGTCTGGTTTGTCCCGACGGAGCACTTCAGTAGAATTGTCAGCTCGGCCGCCTCACCACACAGAAAACCACAGTGTACCGCCTCGCTTCAGCCTACGGCGTCAGTCGCAGTCTAGAGACGGTCCGGCGACACTCAACTGACGCTCTTGCGACGTATGTGGTCGGGTGGGCGACTCTGTTACGCCGCTATCTCCACGGTGTGACCGTTCCTTCTGGCCAGGGACAGGGCCAGACGCTTGGCTCGGCTCAGTCGCCCTGTAAGCAGGGGGAGGGGAGTGGTTAGAGGTAAAGTCTGGCCTGGACTCTACCGTCTTGGCCCAACCCGTTCTAGCAGTCTTTACAACACGGGAGACACTGGTCCTATCCAATCGGCCTCCTTAGCAATATATACTACTACCCTCCCGCCACACTCCTGTCCTGTCTCGTCCGCCCGCTCACCACTCATTATCCCCCATTGAACTGCAGCTGCTGGGATAGCAGGCTACTGCTCGGGTCAAATCTGACGGTCACCAATACATCACACACCCGCCCCAAAAGCTCCTTGCCTCACTATCACTAACCTGCCGGGCTGGCAGGCTGCTGCTCGGCTCAAATCTCCAAGGTGGCTACCAATGTATCAGACACCCGTAACCCCGTCATGTGCTCCTACCCGCTCAGCACTGACCTGCGGGGCTGGCGGGCTGCTGCTCGGGTCCCTCACTGGACAGATACGCGGCGGTGACGGCTCGCGTCTGCAGCGTGCTGCTGCGTGCCAGGTTCGTGCCACCCTGCGAGGTAGACAGGGTGAGTGTTAGGTGTCCCGGCACTCGAGGGGGATGTGCATCACAGCACAACAGACAGGCATGTGCTGTAGTCCAATACGGCACACGAAACAGCAATCACATGGTGCATGGGACCGGCACAGCACACAGTTACGAACTACACTACAACACAAAGAACGCCTATGCATGACCAAGATTCTTATAGATGTGCAATGTGCATGACAGCGGCAAAAATTAGATATGAGCCACAGACAACTCGACATCTACATCAATGCCCAACAGATAAGTGACGTCAAGGATCTGAGGAGTACCTCAAACCAAGATTGCTTATATTCGTTCCGTCCCCCCTCCCTGTAATGAGCTCACCCCCTCGATGAGCCGGCGCAGCTGGCTGAGCTGCTGGCCCAGCTGTCGGTTGTCTCTGTCGAGCTGCTGCACCTGCGCGCGCAGCTGATCATCCCCGTCCTCGGACCAATCGGGCGTGTTGGGCCGGGACTCCTCGGCGGCGGCCAGGCTGACTCCTACCGGCGCGGCGGCCGTCAGCCGGCGGTACTCGGCCTGGAGCGCGCTGCGCTCCTGCTCCAGGTGGCGCACCACGGCTCGTAGGTGCTCCTCAGGAGCGGCTGACTCGCCGTCTGTGTCGGTACAGTCGGAGCCGGCCGGCCACAGGCCCAGGCAGTACTGGGTGATCATCTGTAGCTCCTCCTCACTGCGGAGACACACCAACACGGAGTCACAGATAGGTTCAATAGGTGATGCGCCAGTTATCCCCGGAGTAAGGAGAGAGGTTCATTAACAGCGACAGCGGATTTATTATAAAATGGCGGCAGCCGGCCACTTCGTCGGCCGGCTGCGGCGGCGACCGCGGGGCAAGAGAGAGAAGCTTCGCGACTCACACGTAAACCGCTAGACGGCGCAACTTCGAGTTATGATCGCCGCCAACAGATGGCGGGACGAGCGTCACCAAGTACAGATAGAGGCCAACAGATGGCAGGCCAGGCGTCACTTCACACCAGCCACACTGGAGTGGGGAAGGAGCTCCGATTACGGCCGACGGACAGGAGAGGACTAATATCACACCACACTGGTCACACGCGGGTGTGGTGGCGATGTCTGTAATGTCTTCATGAAAGCCCATCGATTATGCTCAATGAGTACCGGACCATTAACAGCGAGAGAGGGAGGGGTTGTTGGTTTCTATGGTGAGGATTCGCAAAGAACGTATTCCGGGATCCAAAGTATCGCGACAACGCCGAGGTTCTTTCATCTTTCATGTGTTATGGTTTCCCAAACTCCCGTGTGGTTTCCCATGTGGTTCAAGTGATCTGGCCAAAGATCGTTCATACAACCTGGCATCCTCGTGGGACCTCTCATCCCGTTGACCTTCCTCGAGCCAACGCCTGACATTTGACAACCATGTGACCGACTCTGACCTGTCAAACCCCGACCGTCCTGACCTGTGTGACCTGACCCCAGCCCTCCTGACCCGTGCGACCTGACCCCGGCTCTCCCAATCCGTATGAGCTGACGCCGTTCCCTCAAGACTCGTGTGAACTAACAATGACCTGCCCCGACCCATCTGACCGTATGACCTGACAACGACCTGACCCCGTCCCCGCCCATGTCACCCACCACTGACCTATCCGGACTGGAGAAGACGCTCGAGTTATTGGCCAGCTCTGAGTGGTCGCCTCCCTCGTCCGGGGACAGAGTGTCGGTAGTATCAGCCAGGTCGGTCGAGTCGGGAGCGTCGGTATCCGCCTGGTGAGGGACAGAGGTTAGCGCAGGGAACGCAGGATATGGACCTGTCAATAACAGCTTGGCATGCTGAATAACACAGCAAACCGTCGAACACAAACATCTAGGACCTAGGTCATTATGCCATACACAGTACACATCATACATCACATCAGGTAGAAATGGGAAACAACGCCTAAAGGCCAAACACGTGGCTACCAGATGGACAGAGAATGGTATCCTCTCTCGGGCTACACACCTCTGTGCTGGGCTGAACGGGCAGGTAGGCGAGCTTCTGGTGCTTTCTGAAGTGGTGTTTCGACTTGAACCGGTTCCGAATCGACTTAGCAAGGTCACGCAGGCCATCGCTGGACGAGCTCTGGAACAGAAAACGAACGTGGGACAGTAGGTGATCGTCACTGATCAGGGATGCACTATTGTTACTAAAATAGTTAGAGGGGTTTACATACCCTTGGTTAGAGGCAAAAGGTCTGACTTGACGGCTTTGTTCAGCATATGACTGAATGAATGTAGTAGCAAATCAACTTACGTAACCTTACATAACCATGCAAAATGACAGTGGGTATCAAGTTTTGTTTAGACAGGACATCTGTTGGCTACTGAGGATTGCAACATAGTCAAGTTGCGATCTTCAGGAGACAACACCCGAGATTATGCAAGACAGAAAGAGCGCAGGGAGACTCTAAATCCATATAGAGGAATCAAGAGAATGACGATCAGTGATCACAACCCTCCCTTCTCAGACCAAATGATGATGATTCTCCCTTCCCTTCTCACGGAGTGCGGAACGGACACATGGCCTGAGCTCACCTCTGTACAATACTCGTGCAGGGGGTGGCTCAGCTTGTGACCTTTGCTGACCCGGCCGGTAAAGAAGCACTGCTGACACATGTCCCAGTTGAAACACTTGAGACATCGGTACCTGTGACGCAGGCGGACACCAGAGGTCAGAAAACCGATCAGGGGTGATAATGGAGGTCAGCCGGGGGTGACAGAGCGATTAACGAATCACGTACCTAACAGATCGGTAGCTGAGGTCAACTGCGACTCGGTAAACGAATCCGACAGTGGATTGGCTTCCCTGGATTTTCGCTCTTTCCCCTAGCCCCAGGTTTCCCAGTTCCGGTCCCAGTCCAGCATGAGGTGGCGTTCAGCGTAGCTGTAAACGCGGGGAAGCAGCGGAGGCGGTCAGCGGATGGTCCCACCTGAAGCCGACGATGGGGTACTCCTTGCAGACGTTGCAGCGCGCCTGATGCCGCGCCGTCTCTGCGCCGGCCACGCGGTGCAGCACCGGCAGCCAGACGACGCTCTGCGGCTCGGCGCGCAGCCAGTCGAGCAGCTGGAGCTCGGTGAGCCCGGCCGCGCCGCCGGCTGACTCCAGGCAGCTGCTGACCGAGCCGGCCACCTGGTCCGGGCCGAACGCAGCCGCCTCGGCCAGCTGGCCGGGCAGCTGCAGCAGCCGGCGCAGCAGCCGCGCCAGCCGCCGGCTGTCCAGCTGGCCGCCGCCGTCGGCAGACAGCTGGAACATGTCTGCACGGCGGAGGGAAGGGGGGGGGGGGGGCGACACGATCAGCTGGCGTGGGCGACGGCAGATTCTGTTTGCACATAAGTCAACAAAATGCACTGCATAATCATTATATAACAATTGTTATATAATCAAAGATTCGCGTACTTCCCGTACTTCTTTCGTTACATTTATGAGCATGAGACGCATTATGTAATGAGTGATTGATATACGTACTTTCGTTACATTAGGTAATGAGTCTAAGACGCATTATGGTGCGGCTGTGGCCTGTGATACGTACAACGGTATTTGTCCTCGAGTCTCGCCTGGCACAGCGTGATGATGGCCAGCTTCAGACAGTACACGGGAATACTGCCCGTCCGGCGACTGTGGGACGGTGTGAAAGATCAGAACACGGGATATTGCCAGTCCGTGGGTGCATGACTCTTGCTATGCAACGTTAGTTTAGTACACAAACAGAGATACAAGCGATTCGTACACATTGAAACCTACTTAGCTCAGTACACCGGGATACTGCTAGTCATTCGCCTGTGTGGGCATAAACACACAGTGACATCAATCAGATGCTGCATTAGGCTCTGCACCAGATGCCTGATTGACGAAAAACAGATCCAGTGCAGTGCAAGTCAACATTTTAAATCGTGTCACCGTTACGAGGCGTCTCGGTCCCCGTAGTCGTAAACGCTCTTCCCTCATCTCGGTATTGACCTGACTGCGGTCGGAATTGGGGTTATTGGATTGATTGGATTGATGAAGGTCAAAGCGAACTGACCTGTCGTACACACTCCTGTGAGCGCCGAACTGACCTGTCGTACACAGTGCTGCGTTCGTACTGACCTGTCGTAGACGCTGCCGCAAGCGTACTGATCTATCGCACACACTGTTACGCTTGGGCTGACCTTCCGTAATGCACACTGCTGCGTTTGTACTTTGTGCTGACCTGTCTTAGACGCTGCTGCGAGCGCACGATCGTATACACAACTGCTAAACGCTGGCCCGGCCTGTCGTACCTGTCGTATCTGTGTTTTAACTGACCTGTCGTAGACGCTGATGAGCCAGTTGAGGCAGAGGTCGACGCGCAGCGCCAGTGCCTGTCCCCCGGACAGCGGCGGCTGTAGCCGGCCGTACAGCTCGGTCAGCACGGCCAGTACGTCCGGCACGGCGGCCACGCCCGAGCACGGCAGACGCCACGCCTCGGTCTGGAAGGCGAGCGCCGCCTCCTCCAGCGGGAGCCGGTGGAGCAGGAGGGTCCGCTGCAGGCGGCGCAGCTTCAGTGCAGTCCTGGGGAAACACCGACACAGGGTCACAAATACTACACTGAGAAAGCGATACTGACACTGACACTGACAGCCGGTGGAGCAGGAGGGTGCGCTGGAGGCGGCGCAACTTCAGAGCAGTTCTGAGAACAACGTCACATACTGGCGCTAACACACTGATACTGACACACGGTAAATGACACACGAACACTGGCAGTAACATGCATCGGTGAAGCAGACGGGTCCAGTGAAGACAGCACAGCTTCCGAGTCGTCCTGGGGCAACAGGAAGCGCTATTGTCTAGATTATACCGACAGCGATACTGCGTCACCTTGCCCTCTATGCACTACACATCCACTCACCTATAGGCAGAGAACCGGACCGAGTCCAGCTGGGACAGACTGGCTGTGAGCTGCGCCAGCCGCGGGTGGCTCCACTGTGTGCGCCTCTCGCCGTGGTGGAGGTAGTAGGGCACCCGTTCGGCCGTCTCCGCTCTCTCCCAGGGCGGCTCCACTGACCGGCCGAGCTCGCACCCGGTCAGGGCGCCGCACGAGGCGGAGCTCAGCTGACGGAGGCGGGTCGCCAGGGTGGACAGACGAGCCAGGCGTTCACTGGAGAGGGGTGCGCTGTGGGAGGACGGGGGAATCGGTCAGTGGACTAAGTGTGTAAGGTTGCTGTACTGACGAACACAGATAACTGAGCAGTGGACACTGGACAGACGGATATTGACACAAGTCACCGAAGTGATACTGACACTGTTAAACAGATCTGCTGTTACAGAATACAGGCTTCTGAACTGACTACCAGTCCACTGAAATTATACCGACGCCACTAGAAGACAAGTGATCACGCTGTATAGTGTATAGTGGGCATTGACGACGAGCGGGTGACTATTCAGCTACTGTCAGAGTTAAGGTCAAATGACGAGGGCATGTCACCATATGAATTGAATATAGCGAACACATCACCAGACAGCAGAAATTAGTGCACTAAATGTGCAATCACTGCCAGGCCCCTCCCACTCACCCGTTCTCGGTGAGGCGCGCCACCTGTTCGTTGACGTCATCCAGGCCGCGCTGAACGGCCAGCAGGCGGTCTGTACCCTCAGTGACGTCATCGATGACGTCACCGGAGTTTGGCGCCTGCTCCAGCTCGGTGAGTCGTCGCTCCACGTCCTGCATACACCGCTCCAGCACGTGCATCTTCTGCAACAGACGAGAAAGGTGGGGTATTGAAAATCTGAAATAGTTGACAGGGCTCGAAACTTCCGATTCGTGGACAACAAACGTTCTCGACTGAAGATGTAAGATGATTCTTTTTCCGCTCATTTCAACGGCGTGGTCTGTTCTTCAACATTAATCCAGTACAACGTTATCGCGGACTCCTGATGCAGATGACCTGTGAAACTAACGCATGATACGTGCCTTATTTCTGTTTGTATGAAACAAATTCAGCTTATTAGCTACCATAGGCCTGAATGTCGAACAGCAGTGCCTACCGATAGCTACGGAACACACCACGACTCACGGACCATCCTGATACCGGACCAGGGCAGTTGGACCACGAGCGGTCCTGGTGCGGGACGGGTGGTTCTGGTAGACCGGTGGACGGACCAGGCCAGCTGGACGGCATCAACAGCAAATGGGTGCAAAGGTAGCCTGGAGGGGCACTCAATGGCCAACTGTTGACTGGAGTTCTGGACTAGGATCAGGGGGCAGCGGTAACCGCTGTTATCTATACAGAGACAGCTGGCCACTGCACCCGAATCAACACACAGGTTCTGGCCTCTGATATGGGCGTCTCCCAGAGAACACAAACAGCGTGATCGCTGACCCCAACAGGCTGACCTCCGACCCAAAAACAGCTGACCTCCGACCTAAGAGCAGTTTTAACAGCTGACCCGTGACACGAAACACATTGATGCTGAACTAATTAGGTAGGTATATGTAACTCAAACAGCTGTCCCGAATCCTGATCAGAGAGCCAAACATCTGGCCCCGACCCATGACTCCAATGAGCTGACCCTCATACAGGTCAACAACTTAACCTGACCTTATGCAGCTTCAGCATCTGACCTCTAGCCCCATACAGCTGGCCCCGATCCAGGTACAATTTAAGCAGATGCGCTCGACCAGACCAAACTCCTCTGTACTACCTTGGCCCACCTATGTCAGCTCAGTTCCTTATCTGATCTAGCCCCGCTGACCTGACCTGACCCGACCCCGCTGATCTAACCCAACCCTGCCAACCTGATCTGGCTTTGATGACCTGACCCAATCCCGCTGACCTGACCACATTGACCTGACCCAGTCCCGCTGGCCAGACCCTGCAACGCAAAAATGACCTACTAGTAGCCCCCACGGACCTGATCCGAACCTGATGATCTGACCAAGTCTTGTTGAGTTGACACAACCCTGCTGGCCTGGCCCAGCCCCGCTGACCTGACTCCACCCCGGTCAGCTACTGACCTGACCAGCCCTGGCTAATCTAACCCACCTCGGTCAGCCAGAACACGTCCACACTGCGCCTCCTCTGGAGCCGCGGCGAGGCGGGCCGGTACAGCGGCAGCTGGGTCCTCGACACCGTCCAGCTCGGCTCGCAGGGGACCGAGAGTCGGCGCCGGTGACCGGCCGGCTCCGCCGAGCGGCACCACATGGCGGCACTAGCGACACGACGGCGCGACTGCAGCCGCTCGCAGCTCACACCGCGACTGCCCCCCGCGGCGGCGGCGACGGCGGCGCCAGGGTTCATAAACTGACCACAGAGTGGCCTGAACTCACCGAGAGAGAGCGGCCTGGCAGAGGGGAGGGCGAAACCGATACAGCCTGGTGCACTGGTTCCTCCCCCCCCCCCCCGTGTCCTTGCAGTCTGTACTGAATCACGGCCTCGGTTCCAGCGAGAGGGCAGAGGATAAGCGGTCGGAACACGCTCTGCACGGCCCGATTAGGCTATACCACGGATTGACGGACGAATGTAAGGTGGAGACGAGTCGTTCTATGTAAACACTGACGGGACGGGGTGGCGGGACGGCCACACTCCGTCACCTCCTCCGTCCCTTATCCCTCCCCCCCCCCGATCTCCTCCAACCATGGCAGAGGAGGGGTTTACTGCAGAATCACATGAGAGATGAACGACCGGCGCTGGCACATCAATGAAGGGATTACGTACCAGAGTTCATGTTTTCCTTATATGGCAGCGACTTGGTGAAGGTCGAATGCAATATACTGGTCGCATCGTTCTGAATCATCCATGGTTCTGAATATTCCACAGTTTGCTATTGGATGGGCGATAGATTTTACGTAGTCCCTGTCAGGAATATGTGTCCATCCAGTCAGTCGTTGTACCGTGATATATGTGATCCTCGTGGTAGCGTGCCATTACCCATAAAAAATAGAACCTCAGTCAATCGACAAATGAACGGCACAGACATCATCAATTCCCCCAAACTTGCTTGACAACCTACAAGCTTTGTATATATTATATAACCTCATCCTATCTTGGCTGTCTCATCATGTGTCCACTGTCTCATCATGTCTCCGTTCGGTACCTAATGCCTCGGATCTATTGAGACCATTTCAGGGTTATAGGTTGAAAGGAGGACGGACAGATTTTGGGCTAATTCGAGCACCGGCTCACAGTCGATCACAAATTGTATCACCATTCACTATCCACCAGCTTTTGACTTACCACCCACACCATCGAGGTAAATTCGCCTGTATGAAATTTATCGACATAAAATGAAAATATTAACTTTCCATGTAAATATAAATTATTTGCACTCATCAGAGACAGAAAGGACTCAATAATCAGTATCAATAGGTGTCGAAAGACCGTTTCCATGACTACAGCTGTGCTGCTAACGAACACAAAGTCAAATCTACCCCACCTCAGGTCCTCACTCCAGGCACAAGTCGCCGTCAGAGGCCGCCATCAGCAGCCACCACCAACTAGCGTCAACTGGTGGCAAGACGGCGTACTAGAGATTTGACTTTTCACCGCCAGAGCGCACTGCACGCTCATAAAGTCAAAGTCGCTGTTTACACAACACAGATTCATAAGTCATAACTCAACACTGAAGCACCGCAGGCGCATTATATGTCTACCACTCTGGCTCTGCAGGCTCGTTTCCTCACCGTTGCCTCGCTGCAAGACCATAAACTCACCGCATCTACGCCACAAGCTCATCTGCTCACCATCTCACCACTCTGACTCTGCAGGCTCATTCACTCACCATTGGCTCACCATCTCACCACCAACTCACCGCCAGGGCGGACTGGAGATCGGCGTGTCGTCGGCTGGCGTCCCCGAGCAGCTGCAGCCACCGGCGTAGCACCTCTCCCGTCGTCGGACCAGGCCCGTCCTCCGTCCCTGGCCGATCAACACGAACGGTCAGCGGGTGCGCTCCGCACACCGCCTGCTTCCGGTGGGTGTCGGTGTATGTAACACGGGTCGGGTGACACCGGGTAGACTCCTGGCTACGCCCCCCGGTCGGAGGTACTGCACGGCGCCACGCACCGTGACGCATATCGCTCAGTAGTTGCCGCCGTGAGGAGCGTACCTAATGCGCCAGCACGAATCTCTAGCAGAACGACCACTCAGACCAGACGCACAGTCACAGTTAGGCACTATCACTCTATGTAAACACCGAGTGTGAACTGAGCGCAGCTCCACTTGACAGCAAAAAGAAACATTGAGCGGGCCATATGCGGCGCATGATATCCGTCTGGGACTGTATGGGAGAAAGCTATACATACCGTCAGGTCGGTGCTCCTGCCGGTCGGGGGTCAGACTCTGGTCGGCCACAACGTCCCGGAGTGCGTCCTCACGACTGCGCACCAGGTCCAGGAACGACTGGGCCGCCTCCTGAGGGAACACAGAGAGGAGGGGGGGGGGGGGGTAAGTGGAGGAGATGGGGAGTCGTGAGTTGACGAGTCTTGAGTTATTGAGTGGGGAGTTAGTGAGCTGGACGGTTGCTCAGACGTTTCTTGAAACCGTCCTCGGCTCCGCAGGACCCACTCAAGGACGGCGATAGACGAGAGTGCTCTTTATACACACTGACCGATATCAACCGTAAGAATCAAAGCAGAAACGATAAGTGACAATAAAGCCGCTATTTAGGTTGGGTTGTTCCCCGCACTCCCATCCCACCTTTAGACCCACCTCAAGTCCGCCGCCTGTGAAGATTCGGTACGTTCCCATCTGCTACCGGCTTAATATATTCCCAACCATTGCCTCTGATCGGTAATAGTTTATGTTCCCACCTACTACCTCTGAACGCACGATATGTTCCCAGATCTTACCTGTTGTCTCTGAAGGCTCGGTATGTTGCCGGTCACCGGCTGCAGTTCCAGCTGCCGCAGCTCCGACTCTTTCTCTTCAATCCATTCCAGGAGCTCCTGCAGCTCTTTCGATGGCTTCCCTACATCAGCTGGCTGTTTTCGGGGTCCATCGGGTTCGCTGATCAGCGGCGATTTTATCGGCTTTGGGAACCCGTTTGAAAGCTCTGTAGACGTCTCCACTGGCAGCCTGAGGGTAGAAAGTTTGTTAGGACCCATGGCAATTATGACGTTCCCAAAAACAAACTTGGAAGTTGTCGGCAGATTATTGTGTTGAAGTCAAATGATAGAATATTTATTTGGCGAATAAACCTTTATTCTAAGGCTAACACCGATAAATTTAGTATAACAAGCTAAGCAATGCTAAAAGTAGATACAAAATAATTATGAAACATATGAATTTAAACGGTTGGGACTTTGCATCGAATTCAGGGCTGCGGAGTCGGAGTCGGAGTCGGAGTCGGAGTCGGAGTCGGTCGGAGTCGACAGTTATGACCGGAGTCGGAGTCGGAGTCGGAGTCGATTTTAGAAACCCGAGCCGGAGTCGGAGTCGGAGTCACCGAAAATCTGTCGACTCCGCAGCCCTGCTAGGTCTGCGGAGTCGGAGTCGGGAGTTGGAGTCGGTCGGAGTCGACAATTCTGCCCGGAGTCGGAGTCGGAGTCGGAGCTGGTTTTTGAAAGCCGGAGTCGGAGTCGGAGTCGGAGTCGCCGAAAATCCATCGACTCCGCAGCCCTGGCATCGATGAAGAGCCTGTGTCCGCCTCCGCCCTATACACTTACGTGGTGCTGCCGTCCACAACGAAGCCACTCTCCGCCGCCCGTCCGTCCCTCTCCTGCTGCTCCTCAGAGTCCCTCGACAACCGCCGCTTCAAGTCCCTCGAGAGCTGCCTTTCTGGGACTTTGGACAGCTGCCTCTCTGAGTCTTTGGACAGCTGCCTCTCTGAGTTTCTCGACAGCTGCCTCTCTGAGTTTCTCGACAGCTGCCTCTCTGAGTCTCTCGACAGCTGCCTCTCCGAGTCATCACGCAGCTGCCTCTCTGAGTTTCTCGACAGCTGCCTCTGCGAGTCCTCACGCAGCTGCCGCTCGGAGTCATCGAGAAGCCGCTGGTCCAGGTCGCTGGGTAGGTGCCGGGGCGACTCATCGGACCGTCCCCTGTCCGAGTCAGAGTCGCAATTCTCCACCCGCAGTCGGTCCCATTCCGAGTCTGCGGCCTCCTCGTCATCGCCCCAGACCCAGCCGAGACCGCCGCCGTGGGGGACGCCGTGCTCCGGGTGGCCAGCTGACGGGGTGACAGGCTCGTCAGCTGATGGGGTGACGTGGTCTTCAGCTGATGGTGGGGTGGCGGCGCGTTCTTTAGCAGGCTCCGGTGTGGTGTGCTTTATAACGGTGGACGATGGGGGAGGTTCAGTGCTGATGATTTCAGAAGCTGGAGGCACGGGATCGAAGAACTGTGTCGATTCCGCCTCGAAGGTCGTTAGGCTTGTCTGTTGATTCTGAAACATAAATGAAAACAATGTTAGAACAATCGGAAACTTCCTTGCAACTGACTGAAGGTTCGAATGAATCCACTTATGCGATTTAGGGTCTCATCCAACCACGGCACATCATGTCAATATGGTTTACGTTTGCAGAGTTTTAGTAAGCTAGATGCTACCAAAACCAATACCTAATACTGTGGATGTCAACAAGCGGGAAATTATTTCGCACTAAAAGTGGCAAATGATGAAAATTTTGGGAACTAGACTCGAACCAGACCCGGCTGGACATTTCTGGAACCAGTCGGACCCGGTCTTAGTTGGAACCGGAACCAGTTGGACCCGTTCCCCAAAAGTCAATTAATACAAACTGCTTGTAGGAATCATTAGTTGCATCATGTAAAACAGCCTATTTCCCACTGATAATACTCATGAGCTACTGTGTGCAAAGAAACATTCACTTCATTCACTTCATATTTTGCAATAATGTGTAGTGTGCAAGATGTATAGTTTATGGTAGGACCCGTCAGAAAATTTCCAGGAACCGGTCTGGACCCATATGGGTCCAGACTGGTTCTTTGGACCGGGTCCTCGGGTCCAAATTTTGCCACCTCTATTTCGCACCGTTATCCATTGCACAAATCATTCCGCACGCACGTCTCAGCGAAAGGCGATCAAGTAGACGGGCAGGAGTATATCGCTCAGGCATTTTTTGAAGTGATGCGTGAATTCAAGGATTAAACGGTATTTAGCCTCAATTTATTAGATATTCATCTTCTATTATTCACCTTCTTTGATATGCAAACCATTATTAATACGAGTAAAAGTCAATAAAGTAGCGTTAACCGCCGGCGATATTAAAAAATAACAAACGGTTTATTTCGATGAACCGCACATTTCTGCTATATCGCTCCACTTAGGATTCTCGGCAGCTTTCCTCATTGCCATTGTCTCACCATTTACCTCTAGCAATTGAAAGGAAAATGGCTCTGTGGTGCCAGGTTGTATGATTAGAAGCGCACCTTCCGCTTGACAGCTAGGCGTAAGAGAGAGAGAGAGAGAGAGAGAGAGAGAGAGAGAGAGAGAGAGAGAGAGAGAGAGAGAGAGAGAGAGAGAGAGAGAGAGAGAGGGAGAGGGAGAGAGAGAGAGAGAGAGAGAGAGAGAGAGAGAGAGAGCCTGATCGGCAGGATTATTAGCTGTTCTATTACATACAGTTTATTTTACTAGTCAAAGAAAACGCCCATAATCGGTCAGTCAACTGTAACGGCCAATGCACAGCGCCGGTCAGACGTCAATCTGAGGTCTCTGGCTAGCACCCCTTCTCGTTTGTCCCTTCTGCGCCAGGCACCTCCTGTCGTTGGGTCGTTGCGCCCCCTCCCACCCTCACCCTCTTTGCACCGTGACCCGCCTCTCAAATATGCAGGCACACGTGGCCCAACTGCCGTGTACCCGGCGCTCTCGCTCGTCATTGCAGCGCGCAACTCCGTGCGGAATTTCCGCACTTGGATCGGGACACGACCGCTCCGCCCGCAGAGTGGGCTAATTTTATACGGCATTGGCCGCGGTTGGCGAAGGCACACGTGTGGCCCACCCGTGCCCCCGCGAGGGGTCATCATGCGTCACCCAGAAATCCAGTCCCAAAGTCGGGTTTATGCAACAGGGTCCTTATCTTATTAATTAAGTCCTTATCTTAATTCCATATCAGTGTTCGTAAGCATGTCATTCACCCGCAACCCGCTATTTCAGATTTTCATTTCAATAACGTCTTTTTTGTGCACCTCTCAAATATTTACATTTTAAATTCATCCACTGATCCACTATAGTGGTTTATCGGTATTGTCATTAACCGGCGAAAAATCATTCAAAAGAACTCGGAATAATCGAGTGTTTACGCAAATCAATCATCATCGTGAATCAATGAGCGAGGGCCCACAGCGCCCCTGACCGTCCCTAGGCCGTCCACTGTGCAGTGTGCAGCTCGGATTCTGTTGGAGCTGCGGAGCTGACTGCATATGACGTCGCCCCACCATGGAGCTGTATATGTAGGGTGCACAGAGTGCAGCTCGAGCTCTGTTGGAGCTGCGGAGGCTGTAACTACACCTCCTCACCGTGGAATGATGGCGCTAGTCACATGACATCACGATGAAAGGTTGGGTAAACACAGGGGGCGGTTCTCTCGTCCGCCCCGTTCCGGCCGGGGCCGGCCACCCGTTACTAGTGCCATAACGCAGACGCTTAGAATACGGTCATCTCCTTTACAGCCTGAAATTCAGATGTTTTCCCTTCTGTCCCAGCTGACTGTCAAACGACCCACCGTTCAATCTTGTCAGTAGCATTCAATCTGCAACTTCATCCTCCCCTTGGACTTACCCTCGTTCACTCCCCTCTTCTCCCTCAGCAGATATCCGCAGTTCCATCTGACCCTCAGGAGTCCTCAGTTCAGTCCCTCGGCTCCCTCATCAGTCCAGTCCCTCGGCTCCCTGATCAGTCCAGTTCCTTGGTTCCCTCATCAGTCCAGTTCCTTGGTTCCCTCATCAGTCCAGTTCCTTGGTTCCCTCACGAGTCGTCCGTCCATGGTTCAGTCCTTCGGTTCCCTAAGGAGCCCGGTCCAGTCCCACGGTTTCCTCACGAGTCCAGTCCCTCAGCAGTCCCAAGTCCTCAGTCCTCGGCTCCCTCACGAGTCCAGTCCCCCAGTTCCCTGTGTCCCTCCCCAGTCCTCAGTACACTCCCTCCATGCCCTCACGAGACCTCAGTCCTCAGTTCGGTCCCCCACTTCCCTCAGCAGTCGCAGCCGTGCCGTGTGTAAACAAACAGTTCTGTGGCGGCGGCGTGGCGGCGGCGCGGGGCTGTAACGGGAGCCGCGCCCAGTCGCCCTACAGAGCCACACCGCGCGCCACAGCCGATGGCAGGGGAGGGGACGCAGGGGAGTCAGCCGTGTGGGAACTGGGGTCGGGATCGCGGCAGGCCGCCATACCACCGCACTGGGCTCGGTGGGACTTCGCTGGGGGCGGGTCTGGTTAGGACATCACGGAGGCAAGAGCGCTTGAGATGTGTGTGTTATGTGAACGAGCATGGTGTCGGTCTGTTTATCCAATTCAAGCGGTGGTTTATGTAGGCCGATGGTGAAGACAGCGTGGATTATCATAACATACGATAGGAATGAATGCGTATGTTGAAGTCAAAGAAAAATTGATTTAGGTACTCCACAATAAATAATACCACAATTTTTAAACCGAACCAAACATATTTTAATTGAACGCACTTGATTTAACATTAACACAAACTATGGCGCAGCTCTATATACACGGCAGTCTGGACTCGTCTCCAGCCACACTGCAACCAGGCTATGCCGAGCACACCAGCATAAAAGGAGTGAAACCATTAACCAAACGTGCAACAGGAAGGGGAAGGAAGAATGCGGCCGTGTCCGCTATAAGGCGGTCATGTCGGGAGGTGGGCCGGGTCGGGTCGGTGGCCGTACTCCGCGCCGCTTCCTGCCACAGATAACTGGCAGGTGCCGTGTCGGCCGGCTGCTATCGGGCCGGGGTGTGTGTGTGCTCAGACTGAGAACGTGCCATTCCCGGTCTGACTCGATCCCCGGACCGGCCGGCCAGCGCGGTCAGTGACACCGGCCGCCGGCCGGCACAGTGACCGATCCCGCTGAGTTAGGCTATAGGTATAGGTTTGAAAGGGCAGGATATGGATGATCACTATAGATATAGATAAGTTGACGAATAAAAACTTTACAAGCCAACCACAGTATCTCCTGGAATCACGCATCAAATATCAATATGTTACTACAAATTTCGTTCAATTGAAATAAACTATCGCATATTCAATTCAAACTGACAGATGTATGAATGATGATGTGCCGCAACACATGGTAGTTCATATTTCAACCAATAGATGCTGCTCAATAGTCAATTAACGCTTGAGGCGTGCTGCGCCGCAATACATCATTGTGCCTATATCAAACGATAGAATTACTCAACTAACGCCTGAAGCATGCTGCGCCGCAATACATCATAATGCATATATCAGCCGATATAATAACTCAATTAACGCCTGAAGCATGCTGTGCCGCAATACATCATAGTGCAAATATCAGCCGATAGATGTCACTCAATTAACGCCTGATGCATGCTGTGCCGCAGCACATGATACTTCAGATTTCAATCGATAGATGTCACCCGATTAGCGCCTGATGCATGCTGTGCCGCAGCACACCTAACGCCTGTTGTATGCTGCGCCGCAATACACGGTAGTTCCTATTTCTGATTGCTCCCTCTCCGCCGGATCACCTTGGCTGAAAAAGGCTAACATACGTCTTTATCCGTAATATCCACATCGTCACGTATGATGACATAGTTAACTCGGAATAAATAGGCGGCGTGCATGACGATGTCGGCAAGGGCATGACGGGCGACTTCCGCGTGTCGCTGGGTCACGAGTGCACTGTTCTGAGTCGGCAGCTACAATGTTGCACGGGTTGCACGGCTCTTGCAGGATATGGGGTTTGTTATTCAAGCAGTAGTATGTACAATGAAGTAATAAGATATAATCAGAGTCGATGCACATTGTATTAGCATTTATGCACATTGCAGGTATAAGTATTCAAAATGCTTTAGGGTAAGTTTACTTTATGGAAATTATCAGACGGCTAATGCCGTATTTTTCATGTTAAACATCATCCAAACGTATTAAAGTTCACGCAGAAAATTAGAGAGACTCATTTGCGGTGTTAGGCTATAGTCTAACCCTGCTTCGATAGGTAGGCCCTACTGGCCGCACCACGACCATCGTGAGTCTCGAAGCTGCCCGAATGACTAACTGCTTTACAAATTTTGGAACTGAATGAGGTTCAATAAGTTGGCACAAAAATCCAGCCCCACAAGAGCCGCTTATAGATTTTAAAAGCATTTATCTATTCCAAGCTCGTTAAGAATACGCATCGCTACATTTATTACCCGTGTAAATATGTAAGTCTCTGCTAGTGTTACTATTCAAGTCATGACAAA